CGTTTTTTATTATTATTGTGGTATTGTTTTTATACAAATCAAAAAACACTCTTTCAATAAACATTACACCAAAAAATAACCTAACTGGTTATAACGTAAACGCATAAACACAAATTTTTTCACAAAATTTGTTAACGCGCTTATAGTTTACATTGTGATTTGCAATCAATCGACCTTCAAGGTTGTAAAAAAAAATTTAAGAACATTCCTAACTTGCAAATGTCAAGAGAATATGGAAACCTCTTTACCACAGTTGATAATAATTTTAAATTCAAGGTTTTAAACAATTGTATAATTATGAACACCTTGTGGGTATATGTCTTTGAAATAAAATAATTTTTTTAATTTTCAAGTTTCCTTGCACTAAAATACCGCTCATAGAAAGAATTTGAAAATTTACTCAACTTATGAACAATAATTGATGAAACTATAATTACCTACATTTAATGACCTTCAATTTTGTTTTAGTACTCGAGGGAATACTTGGGATAACTAATTTGTATTTCTTTTAAAAATTACAATAGATATTGTTGCTTTTAATATGTAGAATTTATCATATCTGCTCAGCTGTTATAATTATAAGTAGATATGAGTTCTAATTTTAATTATTATTGTATACTTATGTGTAGGTATATAGTAGTTGTATTATATTATTTACCATATAGATGTATTAGATTTAAGACTATCATAAAATTATGATTTATAGAAAGCAAAAACAATTGTCCATAAACTCATGTCTATACTTGGTCTGACCATTTTGCACGTGACGCTGTAACTTATTAAAGTTAAAACTTAAAAACTGTGTCCTTTTTTGTGGTTTTCATTGATTCTATTATACAAATCATTAACTTTTCGGCAGTTCGATTCAAAACTAAAAATATTAACTATTTTTGTTTACAGTTCCAATATGAAAGTCCACTGTTCAAAAATTACACATTATAATAATTGTTAATAATTGTACACAATGTAATAATAGTGACTTATCTTATATACCTATCGCCTAGCACTTGTCCAACGAGATGTGTGAAAATCGAATAACCGATTCGTTTAAAGTACACCAATAAATTTTCCTGGAGATTGACAACGGAAATAAATAGAAATACTTTCTAATGTACAATAGAATATAGTCTGGGACCTTGGACACTGTCCTTCGATTTCCTTTTGATGACCGGCGTCGCGGTGATTTCGATGTGGACCAAAGCTATTTACAATGGATAATGTCGTTTGAACTGTACATAATATGTTACTTTAACTATTGTGTACGATCTATTATGAGTGTACTTCAAAACATTTAATTAAAAAAATTAAGAACAACAATTAATTGATGTATAATTGATTTCTACATTGAAACGGTAACGTTTTTGGCATGATGTGGTGGTAAATGACAGCAATTTTTTTTATTCACATAATATAAGCAGTACATTTGTAAACGCTAGGTACTTAAAAAAAGTTCCCACGTCGATTGTGTGGTGGTTTATTTTTGTACACAAGTTATAACAATAGTTTTATATTGTCAAGTGTGATTAAGTCGCAAAAACACTTTTAAACCGTAATCAACTTAATAGCGTCCATGAGAGTGAGTACGCGTGGGTTGGTTGTGTTAACTCGCACCTGTTCGTGACATCTTTATAAACAAGTGTATACCTATGTAAAAAAAAATTATAAAAAGGGAAATCAACGTTGATTTATTAGACCCGTCGACGACGACGATCAATCGGCCGTCCGTCAATGCATAATGACGGGTCGATAGGTCGATTGTATAACCGCCAGCAGCAGCGCCATAACAGATTCTAAAAATTATAAGAAAATTACGTTACATTGTAATATTATTATTGGTGGAGCGTTGAAATCTTAAACGTCTTCATTTTGAACGTTTTTTGTAATGGCTCGGCTCGGCTCGGACGCGCTAGCGCAACAATAAAGCGTAGGAAAATGCATTAATAATAAAAAATACTATTTATTATACACCTTTAAACTTTTTTTATAATAATGTATCCACTATGTAATATGTTATGTATAAAAAAAATATACATTTTATCCTACACGCACGGTTAGGTTGTTGGATTTACTTTCATTTAAATAAAACAATTGAGCGATTGTTATTCGCCCAAGTCTCGCCTATAAGATCGAATGTTTTACCATAACAAAATATCTAAGTACATAATATTATTTTTAAAACATATTTTATCATACTCCTACACAATCTGATGACATTCGTCAAATATCAAATAAAAAAAAGGCACATATTGTACACTGAATTGATGGATTTAAACTTGAACATTCGCAGGATGCACGTTTGAATTATATTATGTTGGTAGAAAACAAAAAAGTTGTATTTAAATTATTAAAACCCTTTGAAACTATTAAATTTTATACAATTATTACTACATATTATTATTTTATACTTGTTAAAAATTTTATAGTGTGATGGAAACCCGCCCGGACGCGTTTATAAGTTACCCGAGAACCTATAATATAAAAATATGTGTATTAATCGCAGATGTCGAACCTATACATGTAAACTAGCTGGCATTAAACAAAAAAATGAAAAGAAAACTACTGAATAAAAAACTGCGCATTTTTCTCGTTAACTCATGCCAATGTCTCTTGGACTGTGCTTGTATTTATAAATTATAATATTATTATTCACATTGTGTGCACATAAGAGCACGTTAGTAATAGAGCCCGGTCCGTTGACCCTCGACGGCTCTGTATATGATTATACAAATGAAAACAAGGGATGCGCTTTCGTTTTTTTTTTTACTTTTTTTTTTTTTTTTTGCACCGGTGGCGACAGCAAACATGTGGTCTGTGTCTTCGCGTGTAAGTATGTAGTAGTATGCATTAGCGTGTGGTCCTTGCTCGAAACAGAACAACTTCGAATAGACACATCGGTATATTGTCCGAAGGGCGCCACGATAAACTCAATAATTGTAATGGAAATACAATATTTGTTTGTAACACACATGCTAGGGAGGGGTTGAAGTGTTGACGCGGGTAAAATATCGCAGCCCGTTGTATAATAGAGCGAATCATTTCTGTAATATATTCTAAAAAAAATCTTTAGCAAATAATCCATAAAAGTCGTCCAACAAAACGTTTACAACGTCTATAATATAAGTTTCGACGATTTTTCAACGTACTGCATATGACCGAACACCTGTGAATCAGATGACGAATATTCATTCTCCTCACCGCCCAACTGATTTAAGTACTTAGACTATCCACAACAGAGCATTGTTTTTTTTTGACAAGTTTATCGCTTCTCTTACTTCTTGACAATATTAAATATTACTTAACGCCACAATAACAATTATTGTTGTCGTTCGCTTATTAACGACCGAACAATGCATCTCGAGCGGTTCGTAGCTTTCTTGCCGTCCAAGCTTATCTCGGTCGTACCACCACAACCTATGGTGATATTTGTTTTCTAATAATTAAATAATGAGTACGTGTACGACGGCGACCTGGTCGTGACGGGTGCCGTAACACTTTCTTTCCGAATCCGTTAGACCCGTACCTGTACTATTGTCTTTTGTCTCGCATATACACTGTTATTAAGACCTTTGACATTGACGTTGAACGTCCATACAATACACAAAACTGTCAGCCAAACGGCCAATGTCCGGCACACAACAATCATACTGGACGGATAGTATAAGAGTCCAAAAATAATAATAATTATTATTAACACAGTCCGAGTTAAACCTGTGATGAATAACAACAGAGCTAAACGTGCGTTGTATTGAAACACGTACAAATTATATTCAGGACTTTCCTATATTTTTTTTCCTTGTTGGCCTAACGAAAAATACACTATTTTTTTTTGAAAAACTATGCTACATTGGTTGTGACTTACATGGCGCCTCTGACAGCCAATACAGACACCATATTATTGTGTTCACACGTCATCATCCCACTGAAGACTCGTCGACGGATGAGTATAACACTGTAACGCAGCGTGGATCGATACTATTATTATATTGTATTCTGGGAGCAGATTATCGTGTCTATGTATGTACACACTCAAGGTCCCTCGCCTGTCAACCTATTGGCTATTTGTTTGTTGTGTTGGAGGTGTTTTTTTATTTTTTTTTGTAAAAAAAAATGTGGCGGTTAGGTAAGATTTTTTCTTTGATTTTTTAGCTTCGATGCGATTGCTGTTTTTACACATTCAATTAGTTGAACTTGGAGAGACACGCTCGCGTAGGAAATGGCATAGTATTATTATTGCCATCGTCGTAAACTTGATGATTGAAATTTGTAATTTTTATTTAAAAAAACCCACTTTGTGCCCTTAAGGTTTGTGTTCTTGTAGCCGATCGGTGTATAGAGGAGGCGGCACTCGGCTCGTTTTGGAAACTGGACTCTCGGCGTATCCTCACGAGACATTGTTGTGTGTTATATAAGAAAAAAAACAACAACAATTGCGGCGAGGGATAGAAGGGAAGGGAAAGGGGAAGGCGAGGCCACGTTCAGAGTACGGACAGCCCTAGTTATACTTTATACTTCTCACAATAACAACATACGCCTAATCCGTATTTGACATATTATAACATTGTTAGAAACGTCGTAGTAGACTTTGAACAAAAAGAAAATTGTAATTTTTTTTTTTTAATTTTATTAAATACACATATTATAATATACATAAATTTATTTTAATTATTAAAACATAAATACAATAGATATACGCGAGCATTGCTTCGGAACGCATAATACAAATAATGACAAAAAAAAATGAAATAATAATAATAAAGTCGAGAGAATACAAATTACATTAATATTCTACACGTTATTATAATAATAATAATATATTAAAAAGTTGACTTAAATTAAATTATTACAATTAAAATGGTATGCATACATTATATTATTAATTATAATATTATTTATATTTATAGAATAAAGTATATATATATTATAATTTTATAATATTGATCACATTGTTGATATTATTAGTATCATATCAAATAACAACAACAACGTAGTTAACATATCACTGTGTCTCTATAGTTGTATTACTAGACATATATTTATATATAAACGTTATATTATAATACAATATATAATATTATTAATATTATTATAATGCGTTTTTTTCTTCTTTTAGCGCTTAAATTATGCTAAAAAATAAAAAAAAGTCCAATAATAATCATTAAATGACCAATCTTTTGCTAAAAAAAAATAAATCAAATATAAAACAACGAAATATAAATTACTATAATTTTAAACTTACATCTTGTGTTATTATCGATCGGTTTTACATACACAAAATTACAATATTTATAAAACATTATTAACTAATATTATTATCATCATCATCTATATTGGCCTAACTAAGTTAAAAGAAAAAAAGACTCGATTTCATCGTTTATATGTACATACACGCGAGTTCACAAAAGCATTTTAGGTATAAATAATATACTAATATATTATATATCATTATACGTGTCCATCAGTCAAGAACAACAAAATCAATTTTATATACTCTAGAACAATAATAATAATATATAATTATAAAATGCAATGTATTCGTTTACATTGTTACAACATATATTTGATAATATTATATAAATTACAATCTATATTTTATTATCGTTTACAACCGTATTGTCATCGCGTGCTCGATCGCTGTTTGCATTAGTCCCATTCGCCAACGTACATTGGAGTCCTGTGACCTGCCGGTATGTAACCTCTGGTGGGTATGGGCAGACGACCGTATATGTGATTGTAAGGCGAATCGAATACTTCGGCGTCTGTAACAAAATATGTAACCGCGGTGTTATTAAAATCGTGGAAGGGTCCAACACATAAAAAGATGTTTAAAAAAGTCAACAAGGTCGACTTCTAAACGGTACAAACGGTTTTTTTTTATATTTTAAAACTAAAGTAAAAATATTTTGTGTGGACCACAAATCAAGTGATCGAATGATTCCAAACAAAGTGAAATCGTTAAATTGAATAGGAATTGAATTAGATCAATTTGAAATAATAATATTTGTGTATTTGTGCAGTACTCTTCTCTATAATGTAGTACTCTTGTGTATTTTAAACAGTGGCGTGCGCCCAAAGGCACCTTCCCTCTAAACACGTTTGACTAATGACAGTACCCGACTACTCTCGTTTAAACCCTTACCGTAAATATCATCTACTTTGGATACCACGGCATACAGTAAGTTTGCTTTAACCGCCAAATATCTACTGCACCTCGCTACTTTGAATCCAAAGTTTGGAAGGATCAAATCAAATAATATTCAAATTTCAGCTCACTTGAAGCTGGCAGTGGATTCGAGTACACAATGGGGACTTGGATGCAAGTTACTCGGTCGAAAATATTAAGTTTCTTTCACCAACCGCGGGTCGGCAAATTCATCTTAATGTACCGCGTGTAACACACCTTTCTGTGTATTGTCAACAGAGTCCATGATATCTGGCTCATGATGGATAATGTCAGTCACCACGCCACTGCGGTATTGTATTGTTTTGCTGTGTGAGTTTGTTTCAACGGTTTAAAACGCCCGTATAATGTCAAAAACCCGATCGATAGATTTACCGTATATTATTATTATTATTATTATCGTGTGTACCTATTGAGTGTAATTATGTCGTTTACGGCGGCGACGCGTATATATATATATATATATATATATATGAGGATTTAAGAGGCTCTGCGGCGGCGCATATCATTCTAAACGGGTTTCGTGGAGAGCGTTGCGCAATACGCGAACCAGTCGCCGGTATGTATCTTACATAGTACACGGAACGTTAGAAATCCATATGCATGCTAAAGAACTATTCTTGTACGGTATAATGTGGATTTACTCTGTAAACGTCTCTGACGGAAATATACTACAGTATCCGAACGTAGTAAACGCGAGCTCTGTTGGTTTTTTTCCCCATCGGTATCAAAGAACAATAACGTATACCTATTACAAGACGGAAGATAGGAGCCGAAGGACCGTGATGAAAGACGCCGACCACTGAACATTATTCGGCAATTGAAGATCGGATGGCTTTAAGTAGCCCGTCTTCAATTTCTCTGGCCTGTGCGTGTGTGTGTGTGTAATTCAAATAAGTGCACTTACCCATTCCACTGTCGAAGCTGCGGGTATGCCACATGGCCGGTTGGGTGTGGTGATGGTAATGCACGTTGCCGGCTAGGTGACCGTTGGACAGGGCCATGGTGTTCTGGTGGTAGCGGGACGGAGGCACGGCTGTGCTGAGCTTGTGGCTGATCAGGACGTCTTTGGAGTCCATGGCCTTGCCGTTGGACGTCTTGACGAAATTCGGCACTCTCGCCCTGAGACCGCAGTAATAGGGGTCGTCTGCAAAACAAATAAACACACACACCAAAAACGGTTATTACACAAAATCACTAAAACCGTGTAACCCCGCGGGGTCAACTATTTGTCGGTAGTTGTTGTACAACGCGTCAACAAACAACAAATTACAGGCGTGGCGGAACGGGCAGAGAAAAAAAAAAACAACAATTATTATTATATTAAAATCAAATGTCAAGGTACGCATATGCTGTTTCGTTTAGTGAAAGTGCAACGGACGGTCGGTCGGTTCAAGCCTTTCACCTGTTTCCATATTATTATTGTACACGATGATGTGTTATTATCATAAACGTTTAGAGAGAATAAAAAAAAAACCGGTAATTCGACGAGATTACACGCTATTATTATTATTATTATTTGCAATTATTGTAGTAGTTTAATTTGAAACGTTCACTTAAATACCTATACATTTATGTATGAAAACAGCCGTGCACCGGACGGCCGATGGTCGTGTCTACACTGCTAAGGCAAATATTAAAAACATACATATAGGAGACGTGACGAACCACACCTACAACCGTCGAGAGACCGCGGTAGTCGTTTTTCTATTAATTGCAATATTTAATTACTATTATCATCATCATCATCGTCGATAAAACGAATTCAATTTGAATAAAAAAAAAAAACAAGTGTATAGTATAATAGTAAATCGAGGCTATCGGTACGCGACTTACAGTGTAGATTCGTTCCAAAAAAAAGTGAAGTGCGCTCGTGTACCCAATACCGTAGTCATAGCCCATAGGTGTATTGGTTTTTTATTTACATACCTATACATATTTTTTTTTAGCAAACCTTTAAAACGCTTGCGCCTACAGCACAAATAGCTGCGGTAGCCGCTGATCGACGAAATAGTTTTTCAAACAACCGCGCACGATCGAAGCCTATTGCTAACAGGATTTCACCCGAGTCGACCGAATAGTGATATTCAAATGTTAAGCGACGCTATTAATGCGTGCATAGTAGCTACAATGTATATCTATTGGTTATATTATATACTCGTATATTATTATAATATCCAGTTGATTTCTAGATTGTGAAATCAACTATGCCGCGCGGACGTTGATGCACTTTAATTTGACCGCACTACCGTCCATAACAGTCTACGTCGGGTCGTTGCGGCTTTGATTTATGTAGCGCGTTCAAAGGTCCGACCGACAACGGACCCGAGCAAAAGGGAAGCGCAATAATAATAATATCTAGATGGTATTTACCGTATTTCTTATTGTCCTTGACTTTGTCTTTTCCTCTCGACGATGTGAACTGTTTCATACCGCCGGTCAATCGGTTTTCTTCCTCTTCGATGTCGTCGTAGTCGGGCTGAAAATATTTTCACACAAGACAATTAGCAAAAAGTTCACAAGTGTCCGGTTTGCAATGGCGGCACTTGGCGGGACGGATTTTTGTAGCATAGGGGCAACCGCATTCAATTTGAGCAAAAACAGAATACAAATAAACTAGTACAATATACAAACCATTAACCTGTCTATTGTCTAATTATTACTAGGTTTGCTTAAAAATGCTTGTCCCTTAAACGAAGAACGTTTTACTTATAAACGAATTCTTAACGATTTTAATAGTAAATGACGGAACTCTAAGTACGGAATTGGGGCTGGACAATGAAGGACCAGACTAACGTCAGAGAATTTGACAAACAGACACAGAAATGGTTGGCAAATTAACATTCTTATGTTAATTCTCCAACTCGCATAAAGACATTAACGTTTTTCCATGGCACCTCTTAAGAGTCTATCGGGCAAAACCTGTTGAAATTCTTCTCAAAAACGTCTGCCAAGTGCCGGTCCCGGCTCGTTAACGGTTAGGTTAGGATGACGCTTACCTTGGGAATGTCATGAGGGTACGGGTTGGACGGATCTCTGGGAGGCAACTTCGGCGGTTTGTCGCCCCGACGGCCCGCCGTCTGCATCATCAGCTGTTCCCTGGTCGCCGCCACCATGTTGGCGCCCGCTATGCTGTACGGGTCCTCGTCCGGTATCGGGATTCTCGGCCGGTTCTTGATATCCACCGTGCGTGAATTCACTGCGTAAACAACAATAACACAACATTGTGAGTATACACATACGGCCAACGGATAATAGTAATGGATAATAAATGAAAAACCGAACAAACGCGTCCACCGCCACCGGTTGTGACGGAGTGTCCGGTTTTTTTCCCCTTTTTGTTTTGTTTCCTATGACGCGCGCGCGCGCGGACACTGGTCTTCGTATAATCCATAAACCGATGGAAATCGGTCCGCGGAGTTCAAAAAATATGTACATACATTTTCGTGCCAATCACCCGCTCTCCCGGCCTCCTTTTTAAGAGTATTTTAACCCCGGCGCATTCCCGGTCGCACACACACACATATCATTCATTCCACACCACTCTACCCTACCGTACTCTGCACACACATGCGGTCATCTCGTTATACGTTCACAAGTCATGACCGCGATACGCATCTGCCGTAACGGTTTCGCGGTTATCTCGCAGAACGGTTGTGCAACGGTATACCGAATGATCGCCGAAACGAACCAATTAACACACTATAATACAGCGAGAGCATCCCCTTGGGCAGCGGCCGACTTCGGTCGGGGTCCGAAGAGACGTGAACGCCCGGGCGCGACGCACACGAATCGTCCGACCACCCGTGGAGACTTATACAACGGTTATAACTATTATTCTATAAATTATGTATTCATACATACATTAGCTACCGCGGTATAAGACAGCGTTTAAGTAAGCGCGCGCCCTTGTAAGAGTGCACGGCCGCGCGTTGTCCTTCCACGGCGGCGATGACCCATATGATTTTAACGCGGTCCAACGGTCTATGCAATTTTAATAGACAATGATCGCGCCCTGTGATGGACTTGACGATCGCGCATAACGTCGACCTACCACAGTCGTCCGGAAAGTTTCCAAGGCGACAAACGGTCAGTCTCGAGCGGAGCCCCTTTTGGATTTCGGATTTCAAATTTAATACAAAAAAAGTACAAGTATTCCGGCTCGTATTGGCTCAGGGTTGAGATTGTCTAGAGTCAGACCAAGAGCACAGTCCAAAGACAGAGGAGTGCACTGATATAAGATACGAATTCTGAAAAAATTTCGATGTCATTAACAGTAGTATTAATTCTATGCATACTCGACGGATCCAATAGGTTGAGATTTATCGATACTTGTATCAATAACTGACACTTTCATAGTTTTTTGCCCACCTCTGTCGCGACTCGAATGGGGTCGATTACAATTGACGATGAATGAAAAGTCTACAGGAGAACCATGTAAATTGTATCCGTTAGCTTGTGTCGACTGGCTTCAACGAATTATACTTGTTCGTCCCGGTTAGGTTATAGTTAAGTATATTATTGTTATTACGGTTTTACATTTTGCCGTTTCCAGAATAGCGTTGCACAATTTGTTTATTTGAATATATTGTGGCGCAATGCCGCGCTCGTTGAACCCCGAACGTGTGGGCTTTTAAGAGCTTCGTTCGCTGTAAGGGTACGGCGTGGGAAGACGAAATTTACGATACCGTATGTTCTTTATAATATGCTCTATTGTTATCCGGAAACCGCTACCTACTTGTGCGAAACCCACACCGACTCGTCGAATCAATATTAACCCGCCGAAACGGACGGTACGCGAGTAGTCGAAAATCGAGTGTTGTTTTAACTAAAAAATGTGCGCAAATATAAAAAAAAATATATATTCCTTCCGCACCTTAAACGCAAACAGTCGGCGCTCGCCATAATGTTAAGTTTCAACATTTCAATTTTTTGGAGTGGACAACAACAGTATGTTTGGCCGGTCGAGGAGGGCTGTTGTTATTTATTTTTTTTTCGCCAACGATCTTAAAATGCTACTAGGGCGAGAGAATCGTCTCGAAACGGTTCAGTGACCCTTGACGCACGACGACGTTGGACGAAGGACCGTCGGACGAATATTGAATCGACCACTCCGATGGGAACTCGGGCCTCCGGGGCTACTAACTACACTAATCAAATAGGTCCTGTGACCAATCAAAAGAAATAAATCGGCACCTCACTCATTGTTCGCGTTCTTATCTGCGGGCATTCGTTTCACGCGTCGCGCGCTACTTGTCGTCTATCCGACATTTTGCTTCAATGGTTTTTTAACATATTATTATACCAGTGCACGTGTGTGTGTGTGTGCGTGGGTGCATGCAAACACACGTGAAGACACTGAAACCAGCTGAACAAAGTGTATAATTTCCAACAGCAGCGGTCGCCTGAAAAATTCGCGTCACGGTCCTCCCTCGGCGCGCCGAAGATAATATAACGATAGTAATAATAAACGTTGTTGCATTGTAAAGCAAACCCTCTTACTTGGTGGCAATTTCGACTTGAGCATGTCCATGGCTACGACGTTTATGATCAACACCCAGATGGGGCTGTCCAACATGTCCGGTTCGTTTTTCACGAAACTGATGGCACTCAAACACTGGCATTCCAAACGCCTCCGGTCCGGATACGCCCTGCGCAGTTCTCTCGACACGTTCTGTTGGAACTTTTTCATGTCGAACAACTGTGAACAAAAAATACATAAAAAACCGTTCATAATAAGCCTTAACTTTGCGCGTTAAATTTTCAACCCTTACAACCTTTCCCCCAAGCGATGGAGATTCTTAAATTGGATTTTAAAAATGTTATAGTTTTTTTAATATTATTGCTGTATTGGGCAGACACGGAGCTTTAATAATAACATTGTCTGACGATATTGCTACCGAATCGATAAAGCATATGTACATACAGATATATTGCCGGGATACCTGATCGTAGGTGTACCTGGAATTTGTTCATAATATTTCGACAAAAACAATTGCACGCTGGGAGGTGTCTAAACTAATTATTGCCGGGGCGTCGTTGAATTAGCATTCAATGAACTCGGAATTCGGAGACAGAAAAAAAACCCAGTAATAATAGAAGTGAAAAAAAAAATCTGATGAGTATTGTTCTTGTATTCCCTCTCCCCGCCCCGTTGTTGACCTTCGCGTGAAAAGCTTATCTCGATGGCGGCAAAGTAAAAAAAAAAATCCCAATCTATATACTATTATATATATTTTTTGTATCGGTCTGTCAAACCATAGCTCTCTAATTGTATTTGGTCCGGTCATAGGCCAGGTAATTCACACGGACAGCGACCAAACCAAAAAAATCACCTTTCCTAACGATGACCACTATGGTTTTTCTTTTTTTTGTTAAATTTTACTCGGTACACACGTACACCCATATTAATGCGGATAAAACAGTGTTTTCGACCAGCATTAATGCGGTTAAGAGAACAATAAAGTGGAAACAAATTAGAGTTTTTTTTTTCTTGAAAACTATTGATGTGTAACTCAACACGGACATTAACTAGATAGGTATAATATAATGGACGGTATGCAGAATAAACAACTTGCCGGTCTTTTAATCTCTATGACGAGTTAAGTATCCAGAATATTTCCCCCTAAGTACTCCGGAAAAATAAATTGTATTTTTACATTGTATAAGTTAACGGCTGTAAAAAGCTAAAACCGATTAATACACATTTTTGTGACTTGGATCAAGAAAGGCCAATCTCATTTACTTATTTAACTGTGTAACTACCAAGACTTGAAAAATAAAATTAATAACTTAAACCGACCAATATACAAATAACCAACTGTCATTTGATCTTCGAGAAGTATTAAAATTCCTAGAATGTGGTTCTCTTATTGAAAAAAAAATTGTACTTACAATTTTCCTTATAATACGTTAGCAGAAACTAGCTATGTATTTTAGATTTCTTAAAAGTAAAGCCGCGAGTACACAGAGTATAAATTACAGAGTATATTATTATATTATACACTACCAAGTAAACCTATCCATTGACGGTGTGTATACAAGTATTATTTTGTTTTCTATTCTAAAAAGGAAATGACAAACAGATGCTACATCGAAGAACACAAATACGTTTTTCCGCCATAAAAATATATCCATAACATACATATTGATGTATTGCGGGTAGTATAATAGAATATAATGTATTTCTCATACACGTGTATAATTATTATCATCGTTGGTCCGAGATGAAAAAAAAACCGATTATAACCGTTGATAAGTTTACCGTTAATGCGCGCGTGTACCAATATAAATAGTGGTACTATGTGTATCGGAATACCTATTTGGCAAGGTACACGTCCCATTCATCGTGCGCATAATAATACTTCCTATAAAGATATAGGCGAAAAACACTGTTTTGTACGGTCATCCCGCTATGCCGAGCCTGAGCGCCGTCACACAGAACATTTATTATTGTTATTATATTATTGTGAGGCCATATTGTATGCGATGGAGACATAAAAGTCGCGGTACGTTTTATGTACACATATTATAATCCTATGGAAACGCCAACACGCACTTCGGTCCATTTTCGATCGGCTGTTGCTTGCCTGCCTCTGTTCTACCAAACATCCCCTACCTCTTGCCCTCGTATCTTGTCTCAAAGCCGAGTTTCTACACAACCCGTGACCATAAATATAATAATAATAACAGTAACGGCAAAAGCGCTATCCCGTAAAGATTATTGTGCGATAAACGAGGCCGCAAGTTATTCACACAATGTCCCACGACAATAGATCTTATATGTTGTGCCCCCCCCCCCCAGTACAGTAGTGTTAGGTCCCTTTATTTGTTTGGCCAATTTTTTATCCCGGCGATATTATATAGCCGCGAGCCGCAACGAGAGTGTAATGTGTATATTATTATTATACATAGGTATACACAATTATGATTGTTATTTACCTTAACCGGTTTGTCGTTTTCCAGACAGTAGTTGGGTAACTTGAGCACGTCCGCTCCGATGCTGGTCTCCTCTCCGGCGTTCGATACGCTCTTGACGTAAACGTTCTTCCCGGACAGCCTTTTCACTAGTATGTTGCCTTGGTCGTCCATTTTCACTTTAACGCCCTGCAAAGTAGACACACGCAAAAAAGGTCATCGCGTGAACTAATAAGACGGTGTTCGAGTCCAAGTAGCAGAGTATACTGTGGAAGGAGGGTGTGGCCCCATAGCCGCAAGGGGGTTGATAATATTGTATCTAACTACCAACTTCAAACCGTAAATAAAATAGCCCAAATTAATAATCCAATGAATAGGCCAGCAATTTTAAGAAAAGAAATTTATAAATCATGTGCTAATAAACCAAAAGGGCACAAGTGCACCTCTATTTTTATTTTACCGGTAGTTACACACATTTTTGTCCATTTCATTTTTCCTAGTAGGATTTTGCTTCTAAAAGTTAATTTTTGTATTATTTCCCATTATTAAGCATAACTTTAAGTCATTATGTGTGCCACCTGACTTGGGCACAACCTTTATTGGTTCACATCACTTCACAATACATATTGTCTACAAATGGGGTGGATGATTTTTGATTTTTATAAATAGAATTATTATTTTTGTCGTCTGTATTTTCTATACTCACAAGGCCCACTTGTTTTTTGACTTCTTCGGTCTTGGGGTCTCGCATGGGGTTGTCAAATCCGTTCACGCCGATCCTGAAACAAATCAAACGCATGATGTAGAGCGTTGTTCAAGTTGTTAAAAAAAAAAAACCAATACAGCATAATATTTCATATACAATTTTTTTTTTTAGTTTTTTTCACCATCTTTATTCGCAAGCGACGAGATTTGTTTTACAATACATCACATAATATTGTATTATACGTGCGCGGGCCAGCAATGTCTTGAAGACATTTCACATTCTGTTCTCAAAGACATCTTCCCCGCGAAGGCTGTTTTTTACACAACTCGGCCGAGCACGAGTCGCGTAGTTGATTGTTTTTTTTTTTTTTTAACAACAAAGACAAGCGGTTAAACGAAATCGCCTACCCTCGAGTGAAATATAGAATTGACGTTTTAATCCAGAAACGCATACACAATAATAACTCACGAACGTCACGTAACTATATTTATATAAATATATAAGTACACCACAAGACCTTGAACATAAGACATACGGGGTAAGGTGTAGAACATCAATTTCGCAATGTCGCAGAAACGTTAGACGGGTTAGTAAGTATGTATAGTATGAAACTTACTTACTTGTATTATCTATCACGAGCGCTCGCATACACCGACACTATCGCATAACGATATTACCATTATACAGTAGGTATATTGTTATTATCATAGCCAAACCGTTCTATTATAGCGTTATTATGACGAAGAGCAATGAATAAAATGAAAACGTGATCCAAGTGAACCTGTGCCTGGGGTCTGGGGCACGAAAAATACATAAATATAATATAATATACATATGTGCGTTTTATTATAAACGAGCGAATAGTCTTCATGTGTGATATAATATGACGGGAGAGTGCTCGTCAGAAATAACAGCGTGTCCTGAAATGTGTAACACGTCCGTACTTAACACAATAAAAGAAATATGGAAATTAATAATTATCCGTGGGCGATAAAACGCGTAAAGCGTGGGCGGTTAGACTATTTATCCAGACTTATTCCCAATATCAAAATATATATATTATAATAATTAATAATCACCGTCATGGTCGCGGGCCACCTGTCTAGTGGAATTCATAAAGACTAAACCCATTTTCACTGTCTGAAATGCATAATATTCTGTTTTGACGAATAATGGATTATCTTACACACTGGCGGGTGCTGTCCTCGATCCATGAATAAAAAAAAATCGCTTTATCATTGCTGATAATTATTATTATCCGTATTGAACCCAGACTTGAGTAACGGTCGAACACAATAATAACCCACACAACAATAATATTACAGTTCATTAAAAAAGTTATGATGTATTTTCACTGTACAATAATTGTCACGCGGTTTTTTTACATAATGTTTTAGCAGGATATCAATCGGCGTGCCAAAGAAATTCATTTTCTACAAAACATTAATATTGTGCCGTGGCCAGAACCGTAACTCGGCACCCAGTTGGATTTTGTGGAATTTATTTGCAATGAACTTTCTTAACCGGGAAGATCCGAACAAGACGAGGCGTAGGGTGCGACGGGACATTTACATTTCTCGATCAACAGCTGTATTGATCTATACTACAAAAAATATATCAATATATATAAGAAAATATGCAATGCCACATCTAGCTCACGCCTCGATTTTAGCCACATCTCCTACGACTCTGGTTATATCAATACTTGGATTTTCATATAAACCGTTGTGTACATAGAAACGCTATAAGAGTAGACTGAAGACAATAATATTATTATTATTTTCCCGGGTTATTGCGAGACCAGACGAGCCTACTGTACGACGTCGGACTTGCCACGCGGTTTGATTCTACACCTGTAACATTTTTTATTTTTTTTTTTACTAATCAAGAAAAGGCTTCAAGAAGAATTTCTCAACTGCGGTCGTTCGGAGTGCGCGCGTTGGCGGCAGCAACAGATCCGTTACCGTGTGATTTAATTACCATTGAGCAACGGGCCGTGTGATGGGAGTAAGTAGATATACACACAGACGCAGAGTCGGCGGGCTGCCTCTGTCGGTTTGCACGTTTGTTCATGAGCTTGTGGTCTATATATATATATATATATATATATATATATGTGTGTGTGTATAAAATATATATATATACATTATATATCAAGAACAACAAGGACGCGACATTATGCAATACTGACCCAGTCCACAGCACTTTCACCGTGCGTGGAGTATAGTACACCCAAGAACCCCATTGTTTCGCCGCACAACCGTCGCGTTAATACTTAAGTCTTGCGCCGTGATTAATAGCCAACAATAATAGTAATAGCATTAATAACAAGTAAATCTAGAAAAATAAAAAATTGTAATTGTCTCGGTTACAGGGCTTATATCACAACCCCTCTTCCCCACCTCTCCCCCCCCCAAAAAATGGCAATTTTTCAAATTTGTCGTGGAGAATCGGGGTTAATACAATTCGGGACAAACTCCCGGCTATACTACCTAATTTACTACATTAGTGGCGAGTAACATCAGTAGCATTCATTAGATCAGCGCTGAAATACTTCCTTATGTATTCATTTAGCTCGAGTACTAGACCAACGCAATAGGGAGACTAAGAATCCACAAACGAGCACAAAAAAAATACCGGCAAATCGTTAGACATTTTTTCTTTTAAACTCTTATGTTTGCTACTTGTAGATTTTACTTCAGTTAAAAATTCAGCTCAACTTTTAAATAGCGCGAGATATTTTAGTTGACAAAATAAGGCATAGAATACAACGAGTTTAAGTACAACCAAATGTTTGTTTGAGTACAATTATTTGTAATCTAAAACTTGTAACATTCTTTAACACAGTTTATATTCCTACATTTCAAGTATTTAGTGTCCTTAATCCCTTCCCGTCTGGCTTTCGTATGCAAATTTATACTTATACATAATATTATGACTGTAAGATGCTGTTTCTGCGTTGCGTTACTCTTGTATTAGTCACAAAAAAATGAGTTGATATAATAATACCGAAAATATGTAATTATTACATCGTTTACCCAATTCGACGACAAGCGTTGCCGATACTATTTGTATCACTATACGGTTTTGTTGTACTATTGAATCATAATAAATAGTAGCTGATGTGGTATCCGTTTTGCATAACCGAGTGGGCGGTCAACGGTAATTGCTAGCAATAGTCGTTGAAATGTATTATAACGACTGCAAACGGTTTTTGCATAATCGGTAGATGGACTAGACGACTCTCGAATGGTATAACGATTATTATTACTATTACTGTGATTAATATTCCCAGCATCTTTAAGTAATAGGTATTGCGGTCGACGCGGGTGGATATCGGCGGTGGCTACCGTTATTGTGTCTATGCTGATCGTCATCAGCTGCAACAACAACACCGTGTTATTATTATGCAATTTTACTGTATGGTAAATGTGTACCTGACCGCAGTTCGGGATTCGAGAGATTAAAGGAAACTACACGCGGTATTATTATATAAGTAAAAGATAACGACCAACGGTCGAGCATTATATAGAAACGCGGTTGACTTTAGAAGAAAAAAAACACAAAATTAAAATGTTGACAAGTAACATTAGGGCACGGTGATTAATATCGCAGTAGCCGAACAATTTTTGTAGAAAAACAGAATGGTTACAAGTAAAAAAACTAAAACCACAACATTAACCGGACAAGCTTTGGTCCACTAGTTAACCAGTCCGCGCTATTGTTTGATTGAAACGGTCATCCCGTTGTATTATATCTTAAAGAAATGATTTTCGAGTGTACTTAGCTGACCCTACCCGCCTAAGGTTATCGGATATCCAAACAGTGGATAATGACAATATTGCGATCCGTTAATTTCGGATTCGTCATAGTCGACCGGACGCGGAAGCGGCTGTGTGTTATTAAGAGCGGACGGTTGAGGTTAAGTAGACAAAAAACAAAACGTATGCAAACAAATCCGTTGAACGGAAACAAAAAAGTTTTTGCCAAGTTTCCCGAGGCGTCGGCTTACTTTATTTCTTATGCTTTTTTATTACAATCGACGCCACCGCCGCAACCGTCATCATCCACCGTCATCGTTGTTATTAAAGGAAACAACAATGATCAAAAGTAGAACAAATAGAATACAATTAAGTGAAAAAAAAAATATCAGGCCGAGTTACCTCATTATTATTGTCAGTGGAGTCTTTATCGCTTTCGGTGGCTAATGGTCGCGGACCAGAAGAAAAAAGGGCACTAGGGCGACCTACAAGTAAAACCGTTGTAGTGTAATTATTATTATTATTGTTATTATTACCATTAACGCCACGTGGGAACCGTGTAATACGTTTTTTGACGCGCCATAACCAGACCGAAATGAAAAACCCAAGACCTGACGGTATAAGTCCTATACATTTGTAATGGCGACGGTGCGGAGGACCGGTAGCCGTATCTCATAATAATGTTATATTACATATTATTATACGCATGCATATTGTATAACGTATGTATCAAAATAGTAATTATTGCCTGACATATTGTTATACTTATACATACGGCGACTGTTTAACATGATAATAGCTACAGCCGTGTATGACAATCCGTCACGATCGTTAAGCTCAAGACGTTTATAGTAATAACATAATAATAATAATAACATAATATACAACAGGCGTGGATCTAAGATGTTTTTGTGACTTCATAATGGCAACCATTGAAATGAATGAACTTTTGAGCTGGCTCCTAGCAAATTTGCTCGCTACTTGTATAACGTTTAACACAAAATGTGTTTTATAGGGGTTTATTAGTCTGTCTGCATACTGTGTCCGTCTACTCAAGTCTGTCGGTGACGTTGTCGCATGTCTAAGACGATTAATGGATAATGTCGATGATTTAACGGGCTTTATCCGTTTCACAGCCGATTAGGCATTACTAATCGTCGATATAATATAATGGCGATTACCGGACACCGCGACGGTACGCCTAATTATTGCGGCTGGCGGTTGTTTGCAAGTGTTTTTTTTTTATTGTCATCAGAAAAATATAACAACGTTTTTATTATTCCAAACGTGATAACGGCGATAAGCCAAGTTG